TATTAAACATTAATGGAGATTGGGTAAATACCTGTGTTCTGCAGGTGGGGAAGCGGCCACATGCAGCGGTTAAGTGACTCACCCAAAGTCACATGGTGAACCAGTGGCAGAACTGGGACTGAAAGTCAGGCATTGTGCTTCCCATTCTGACCTTTGCTAAAAGAAGGCTCAGGCTCTCGTCACCTTTTGCTCTGTTAGCAGCCACCTGGTGCTGGCACTTCTGGGGACTCGCCCGGGACATGTGCTCTTCTGGTGCGACCGAGCTTTGCTAAATATTCACAGGGTCTATGACTGCAGTGACCGTGAAGGCTGTAGCAGGCATGATTGTTGTCTCGATACAAGGACGCCTCCAACTTGGCTACCCTATATTCTATATCATGTTGGTCTGCATGGTTGCCACAGCCGCCTTTCAAGCAACGTAAGTCGCTGTGGTCTCTTTCCCCACTGGAGCCGGCAGCTGTGCAGTGTAATGTTGTTTAACTGTTTAGAAATCAACCCACATGGGCAATAGGTGATTACATTGGTCATGGGGGTGCCGGTCCCGACAGAGGGAAGTTCTTCATCTCTTTGCTGTGTAAACACCGCATAAAGAAAGGCTCATTTCTCTGAAAGCGTAATGCCCTCACGTTCTCCTGGGGGGCTGGAGCGGCGAGTGCCTGCTCGCCCCACTGCGGGAGGAAACCCCTGAGCCTCCATGTACCTCCCCAGTGGGTGAGTGGCCTGCGACTGATTTTTTTGTTTGTTTTTTGGGTGGGTCAGTGGCCAGAGACAGGAAAAGGTTCCCCACCCCTGCCCTACAGAGAGAAGAGTTATTAGCCCTCCCTTAGCTTGGTATTAGCAGCATGGATATGAACTTCTTAAAACTCTGGGGTGACATCTGGCTCCATTGACATCCATCCTAAAACTCTCACTGGTTTCAGTGGTCCAGGATTTCCCTTTGGGTCTGACTCTCCTCGTGAATAGCAGTAAATAAGGAGCGACTCCACTGAAAGTGTATGGAAGAAGAGAATCTAGAATCTTTATCTCGAGAGCGTTTTTTTGAGAGGAGTCTTCAAACTGGGAGAGAGAGATCTCCTCCAGAAGCAATTTTCAATAGAAGAATTCTCAAAATGTGCTTAAAAACCCAACTTGCATTGTTTGCCATTGTATTGCAGGTTTTTAACTCAAGCCTCGCAGCTGTACGACTCATCTCAGATTGCTAGCATCGGCTACATCCTCTCCACAGCAACAGCAATTACAGCAGGTAACACACTTGTGCAAGGTTAACAGGTTTGTTGTTCTTTTAAAATAAGAGCAAAAGACTGTGGAGAAAACTCCTGATTTCTAGCTGCGGAAGATGGCTTCATTCTGTGTGTGAATTCTCCCACTAGGCTGTTGATAAAACTCTCTCAAGATGTGACAGCTGGTTTGGTGCTTATGTCTGAGGCTGGATTACTCCTCTGTCCGAAAGTATAAGACCAGTGGGTGTCTTGTGACCGGAATGCTTGTTAGATGTGTAGCATAGGTCCCTGGCTAAAACCCCGCTGCTCTTTGTGACCTCCCACCAGCACTTTGTAGAGGGGGCTGATGCTATTGAGAAGTGCTTTTGTTTTCTTCCCTTGTTCACAGTGTATTGAGGATGCTGCAGCTCCCATCCTCACAGGCTGTGTATATTCCTGTTTCAGGCCTTGTCTATATGGGAAAGTTGTATCAGCATAACCTAAGGTATAAATGGATTCCCATAGAGCTATGCAGCTGTAGCTCTGTGTGGGCGTTTTTAGTCCAAGAATGGCCCTTTTTTTAATTGACTTGAATGGTTGAATGTTTGTCAGATGGGAAGGGAATTAAGCTAACATGAAAAAGCCACTTTTATGCTGGGGTCCAAAGAAGTGGATTATACTTGTGTAACGCTGAATGTTATTCCTGTGTAGCTGGTTAAACTCTCCCGTGTAGACGGGGCCCCAGTCTTTGCAATGGCTTTGATGCCCTTGTAAACTAGGACCCAGGATATTTTGAGCCCGGTCCTGAATGGTGCTCTGTCCCCTCGACTCCTGTTGGTATCTGTGGGAGCAGAGGTCACTTGGCAGGATGGGAAGTGACTTCCTGTCGCAATTAAAGACGCTCAACCTCTCTTGCCATTCAAGGCTGGGCTCGGTGTGACTTACATGGTTCTGCTCTTCATGCTAACGAGTTACAGCTTCCTCCTAATCGCGGGCACAGCAGCCTCAGAGGTGGCTGTGAAGTGTGTTTGATGGCAGTTCATACAGTCAGTCGTTGGCTGTGGCAAACGCAGGCTCAGTATGTTCCATCCTAGAATAGAACTTGTCCAAAAAGGGAAAGATTTACCCCCGATGAATAAACGGCCTAGTTACGGCTTTTCTTGTGGGAGTGCAGAGACTGAGTAAACATAACAATTGTGTTATTTAATGATACTGGTGATATAGCTCCCCTAGTGCAGATAGTTATGCTGATGTCCAAAGGCATGTGTACCAGTGCACCTGTTCCCATACAGAAGCGGCGAGGAGTCCTGTGGCACCTTAGAGACTAACCGAAGTGTTGGAGCATAAGCTTTCGTGGGCAAAGACCCACCTCGTCAGATGCATGTGACGAAGTGGGTCTTTGCCCAGGAAAGCTGATGCTCCAACACTTCAGTGTGTCTCTAAGGTGCCACCGGACTCCTCGCCGCTTCTGCAGATTCAGACTAACATGGTGACCCCTCTGATACTGTTCCCATACAGGAAGGAGAACAGGTTATATCTGCATAAGGCCCCTTTACAACAGTAAAACTGCAGCCACACCAGGGTGCTGGTGAAATGAGGTTGGTTAGGGATGGGGTATTTTACCAAAACAGTTACTCTAGCACAACTTTTAAGTGTAGAGCAGGCATTCCTTTTGGCCTCTCCCCCTTTTTAAGGGCTTCTTTGGAGGCGGAAATAAAAACAAAGAGCCTAATTTTCAATTTTGGTGTGTATCATTATTTTTTTTTCTACAAATGATTGGATTACTGGGGAGCGTTGATTTAAGATGTAACTATACTTGCTCAGTGGGGAGGGAAGCTAATATAAGCTAAAGTCTGTTCATGCTACTCTTGTCTTAGGAGCAACCTTCTACTTGGACTTCACCGGTGAAGATGTTCTCCACATATGCATGTTTGCACTAGGGTATGTTTTTAAAATTATCAGGTCAGATCCTCTGCTGGTATAAATTGGCATGATGCTACTGAAGGGAATGGAACTTTGCAGATTTACAGCTGATGAGACTCTGCTTCCCCCCTTACCATATTAGCAAATTGAAATTATTTGTCTATATGGCTAAACATAAAAAGTGGGGGCAGGAAAGGAGAGAGAAGGAGAGTTTATTGTCTTCCGTGGCATGAATTATTTTATTGAGACATACCTGGGACTCATCATATTACTGCTTTGTCTGCTAGCCTCCACTGATGTGTACAATAGCATACATTCTCTTTGAAAACTGTCCTGTTAGAATGTAAAATAGACCATGATGTCCATATCTTGTCTCTGAAATTGGCCAAAGATTGGTGTTTCCGGAAGGGTTTAAAAGCTTCATTGTGCACAGAATTGTGCAACAGCTATGCCAAGTGGGGATACGTCTTCCTCACCCGAAATGGAGATCAGCTTATACCCTGAAGCATGAATCTTGATACCAGTTAACTTCATCCCCTTTAACATTTAGAAGAGGAACATCTTTGTACCTTACTGATTTCCAAGCAGGACTAGAACAAACAAATAATTGATCATTCTCAGAGAATCCATCCCAGGTTTTATCTGAACCTATGTTGTACTGGGGACAGGGTTTTGGGAATCCAATCAAGTACTGCATGGATACGCATGCAGTGCGGACAAGATTGTTAAAGCTCATATAAAATAAAAAAATCTATCTCATCATGGATCATGAAATATGGTGTCATCTGGTGAAACTGACCTTTTGTGTGCTTTTTCTCTAGACTAGACCGATTTTATGGGGGAGACCAGCATTTCTCAAATTGGGGGTCCTGACCCAAAAGGGAGTTGCAGGGAATCACTAAGTTATCTTAGGACGGAACCGGTGTTGCCACCCTGATTTTGGCACTGCCTTCAGAGCTGGGCAGATGGAGAGCTGTGGTTGTCATACTGGCCAGGCACCCAGCTCTGAAGGCAGCGACCTGCCTGCAGCCGTGCAGAAGTAAGGGTGGCAATACCATGCCCATGTCACCCTTACTTGTGCATTACTGTTTTCAGCCGTGGCACCCTGAGAGTGGCAGCTGCTGACAGGTCCCAGCTCTGCAGGCAGCAGTGCAGAAATAAGGGTGGCCATAGCTCACCAGGCCATCCTTCACGTGTGTGCTGCTGCTGCTGCTGGTAGCTCTGCTTCCAGAGCTGGGGTCCCAGCCCGCAGCCACTGCTCTTCAGCTGCCCAGGTCTGAAGGCACCACCACTGCCAATAGCCCTGCAGAAGTAAGGGTAGCAATGCTGTAGCCCTTCCCCCAATAATCTTGCGACCTCACACACAACCCCTTTTGGGTCAAGACCCCTACAATTACAATACTGTAAAATTTCAGATTTAAATGGGCTGAAATAATGAAATTTACTATTTTTAAAATCCTCTGACTGTGAAATTGACTAAAATAGCCTGCAACTAGTTAGATATCTCAGTACCGAGTCTCGTTGCAATGCATTTATGTTTAAAGCAGCTCTCTCACTGTGGTCCCCTGCTTAAAGCGATCTCACAAATGAATACAAAACACTAACCCACTGAAAGTACTAATTAACCTTGTCTCTTCTCATTAGCACTCTGTGGAAAATAGCGCTGACAACTGTCAGTACATTTACCTACAGAAATGTCTAAAAGGTCATACTGTTGAATCTTGCTATTTAGTAAGAGCGAATCAAACTTTGGTCTGTTACCATTCCCCTGTAATTTGTGAAGACTTCAGAGCTTCCTGTAAGTGCAAATTAAAAACGGAGCATTTTGCCCAGGGAAAGGTTCGCTCGCTCTGATCACTAATTGCACACAGCATGGATCTCGACTGTGAACACAGTCATTATTCAACTAAGAGAATCTGCTGCCTGGTGAGTGCGGCTGTGACTCTGCTCTGCAGCTTCTGTCTCTTCCAGATCTGTCTTCTGTTCTGCCGGTGCAGGATGGATGTTCAGAAAAGCAACAGCCTTGCTGTGTTGATTGTGGGTTTTTCCCCTCCGCTCACTTAATTAGCTGTTTTCTCCTCTTCTCTCTCAGGTGCCTCATTGCATTTTTAGGTGTCTTCTTAATCACAAGAAACAAGAAGAAATCCATATCATTTGAACCTTACATCTCAATGGACGCCATGCCAGGTAACAGGAAAAATCTGATATTTTGCCATCCTGCCTCTTAAACATCAATTATCAGAATAAAAAGTTTTGTGTTTTCTCTCTCCATTTTATTTTAATATTTGTTCAACCTGTTGTGGTATTTTTGTCTATTTTTTATTAAACTGTTTCTGCGCCCACAACCTTTTCTCTTCGTGGTGGGTTGCTTCTCTCTCTTTGCTAGCTCAGCAGTGCAAATGATCACTGTGAGGTTATGATGAATGTGGTTCTGGTGTCACAATATTTTCAAAAGAAACACAGGGCCTGGTTCTCATTTCCACTAAGGATGCTTTACACTGTTTCAGTTGGTAAAGGGACCTCAAAGAGGGAGTAGACCCATGCCAATGGGGTGTGACCTGGCCTTACTGTCAGTAAAAATTGGGCCTAGAAGCTGAAGCAATCTTAATAAAAACTAGACCTTTGAATCTATAAATCACTTTACAAATGCCACGTAGGGAGACGTTCTGCCCTCACGTGGGTGAAGCAGAGAGGGTAGGTAGCAATGTCGTGTACGCTAAACTCCTGCTAACCACACGGGGAGTTGAGTGCTTCATACCGCTGAAAAATCAGGCCACTAAGACAACATGTACAGTGACAAATGGACAGAATTCTGTGTCCCAGGGTGAAGTAATCAATTCGTAGGTCTTGAATATTAATTGCGCCAAGCTCTCAATGCCTGTCTCGTGAAAGGTGCTCCACAAACTCAAAACATTGAAAATATGTTGGGGCGGGCACGCAGGGAATTGTGACTAAATGGCGTTTAAATGAATAAGAGCTGACGGCCACACCCTGCCCCTACGGAGGTTAGCCACTGATTTTTCCATGGTTATTTATGTCTTTCTGATTACACACATACAACTGACAGGGCAAATTGCTAGCCCTCAAATTGTATAATTTGTTAATAACAGGGCACAGGAAGAAGCACTTGAAGGGACTTCAAGAGGTCATCAAAGTCCAGTCCCCTGCACTCGTGGCAGGACCAAGCATCATCTCGACCATCCCTGACAAATGTCTGACTAACCTGTTCTTAAAAATCTCCAATGATGGAGATTCCACAACCTCCCTATGCAGTTTATTCCAGTGTTTAACCACCCTGACAGGCAGGAAGTTTTTCCTAATGTCCAACCTAAAGTTCCCTTGCTGCAATTTAAGCCCATTGTTCTTGTCCTGTCCTCAGAAGTTAAGGAGAATGGTTTTCCCCCTCACTTCTCCTTCGAACACCCTTTTAGGTATTTGAAAGCTATTATGTTCCCTCTCAGTCTTCTCTTTTCCAGACTAAACAAACTTAGTTCTTTCAGTCTTCCCTCAGAGGCCATGTGTTCTAGACCTTTCATCGTTTTTGTTGCTCTTCTCTGGACCTTCTCTAAATCTTTCTTGAAATGTGGTGCCCAGAACTGGACCCAATACTCCAACTGAAGCCTAACCAGTGCAGAATAGAGCAGAAGAATTATTATTTGTGTCTTGCTTACAATAATCCCACTAATGCATCCTAGAATGATATTTGCTTTTTTGCAGCAGCGTCACACTGTTGACTCGTATTTAGCTTGTGCTCCACTCTGACCCCTGGATCCCTTTCTGCAGTGAAGGATTCTGTTCCTATCCTTTTAATCCCTGTCTTTCCTCCCCCGCTGCAGGCATGCAGACTGTGCATGACAAAGGAATTGCAGTTCAGCCTGAGCTCAAAGCTTCCTTTTCCTATGGTGCCCTGGAGAACAATGATAACCTGGCAGAGATCTACACGCCAGCCACGCTGCCAATCGTGCAGGAGGAGCATGGCTCCAAAGGAGTTTCTGCGCTGCCTTACCGTGTGCTGGAGCACAGTAAAAAGGAGTGAGTGTTTTTTAAGAAGCTGACTTAAGGCAACAAGCATCTGGTGTTTATTGCTTTGGGTTTTAGATCCATTAAAATATAAATATGTTAAAGCTGAACTCAGTAGGGTTTAAAATTAGTCTCAAACTTACTTTTCAAGACTGGTTATTTGAAGAAAGGACTCCGTGGAGTTGTGAACTTGGAAGCATTTGTTCTAAGTTAGCAGTAAATCATGGTCCTTCTTTTAAGGTTGCTAATTGTGAACATGCAATGACAGGCAGTATTGTGGCCATCTGATATTGACCACACAGCTGGCACTGTGAAGTACAGTAACTAAGCCGCTTTTCAGCTCTGCCAACAGTAGGTACAACACAAACTGAAGTCAACAGAATACAGGACTATGTAGCACTTTAAAGATTAACAAGATGGTTTATTAGATGATGAGCTTTCGTGGGCCAGACCCACTTCCTCAGATCAAATAGTGGAAGAAAATAGTCACAACCATATATACCAAAGGATACAATTAAAAAAAATGAACACATATGCAAAGGACAAATCACATTTCAGAACAGGAGGGGGATGCGGGGGGGGG